ACCCGACACTGTTTGATACAATTTAAAATTTTACATAGGCTACATTGCTCCAAGGTCAGAAGCATTAAATATTCCCAGACATATCTCCATTGTGCGAGACATGTGAATGTGTAGAGGCACCCTAATCACACAGTTACGCCCTATGTCATAAACTGCAAAAATATTGGGGTGACATATTTAATTTCCCCATCTAGGATTCCGGAAATCCAGATAATCCCAGATCCTGTTTTGATCATTCTGGGAATATCTGATCAGCTCTTAAAGCTTACTGTAGCCCAACAGCTTCTCCTGTCCTATGGTGTTTTACATTGGAAGGAAAAAGAAGGTAGCCTCGTGAGAACATCCTGATCTCGCGAGCTTTCAAGGTTTCACTCGCAGATCAGTCTGGAGACTCTCCGTAAAAGAAAATTTGGAGCCGTACGCCAAACGAATGTCCAATCAGCGTTGGCTTTGAGACGGGTTGAGGTGTGACGCAACGAGAAGCGCAACAGTTCAGTCTAAAGAAGGTGGACATTTTGAAGGCAGACAAACAGGTCGTGGAGGGTCAGAATACTAGCTGATAGACAGCTGTTCAAATAGTTATTTACAGCTGTATTATACAAATACTTAACAAAAATCATATATATAAGATTTTTGGATTATTGTATTTTTTAGACGATGTCTCCCACAGCAGACATGCACCTACAATGACAAATTCAGACCCCTCCATGATTTCTAAGTGAGAGAACTAAAAATAGCAGCATGTTCAAATATTTATTTTCCTCACTGTACTTTCTAAGTCAAGTAACCACTGGATTGTCAATAATCCCCTCCTAACACGCCCTTAGCTTCTGTCAATTCTCTACAACAAATAGTTGCCAGCTAAGGTGTGGCATTATAGAACAATTAGTAAAAAGTAGATGATGTGTATTCACAACGTGGCGTTCTCAAGCAAGTACCTAATACTTAATTCAACTTTCCTCAAAATACAAAAACGTTACTAATACTTCAACTTTTTCACTAAAATCTTTATATTATTAACATTTTACCAAACTACTAAGTAAATCATGATGATAACAAATGACTAATGCAAGCAGAACTTTAAAGTCAACATGTTAAAAACCACTTTAAAAAGATTTGCTTAATGTGAAATTAACCTTTTGGGAACCTGAGTCATTATTTTGGGCCAAGTAGCCCTGAAAGTCACTGCTAGAACAAGATGGACGACTAAGATGGCGGCTTAAAATTGACAGATTCACACAGCAGCTGTTTATGGTGCCAGATCAAGAAATTGCAGCTTAGCTTAAAGGAAATCCATGTTCGAACAACCTATTTGTGCATAAAAAGGTTTCACCATAAAGACCAAATAACAGGAACCCAGTGGTTGAGGGTGTAATTATGCCCTTTTCTTATATTTTAAGTAATTTTTGAGCGTTTCATTTCTGAATTACAGTTTTTTTTTTATTCACTAAATATTATCTTTCTTTGCCATGTGATATCAAGGTATGGATTCTTAATACACTAATGAAACAAGACAGATATAGGTAAAATCAATAAGATCAGCCTAATATGAAAAGCGTTTAATTCAAAGATTTTCAGAGCCTGTAGGAGAGAAACTGGCCCACAGCATCACAGTTTCTTTTCTGTAATTTGCAATTGATAAGATGCATTCCCATTTAGTGATGCTTTATACCAGGGTTATGAGGAGAGTTTCTAAATTTGCTTAACTGGTCTGATACAAGCAAATAGCACAGTTACAATAAACTACTTTTGTAATAATGAGATTAAACAAAAAAAAAAAGTTTTTCTTGGAATTACTTTAAATTTTGTTTGCATGTAACCAGCACCTAGCAGGTGTCAGATAATATAAAACACCTTTTTCCTTAAAATTTGAAAACCTCATGAAGTTTAGAAGTGGCTGGTTGCATGTCAGTTATGCTTCCTAGATATATTACAACTTCACACTTTCAAATCAGGGATGTCAATTAATTTCCTCACTGGCAGAGAAATACAATCTTTAACCAAAAGATAAGCCAACCCATTTAAAACTGCTTTAGAGCAGCTAGTGTTGGAAAACTTGTGAAAAGAGGCAACTTTTAATTTTATTTAACATCTACTATTGGAAATTTGTCATTCAATAAAACTTTCTCTTATTGCGTTTTTGAAAGATCACTAAAGCGATGAGACGTACGAACAAAAACATGTAAAAAAAAAATAAAATAAACATATTAGTCGTTCATTAGTTTGGTTCTCCTTAACCTGCCTAAGAGTTGTGCTTTTGCTTTTGAGTCCTTAAGAGTCAACTGTTCCGTCTAACACATTTGGTTTACAATTTTTAGCCAATTCTATTTTGTTGGTAAAAGTAAACAAAAGTTCCCGTAAATATTTAGTTTCCCTTAGCACCTTTTGTTTCTTTCAAGTATACAGAAACCCGCATGTCTCGGGTGTATCACTGCCCAGAAATCTGACAAGGACATTTTTTTCCTTCACATTTAAGTTCAACATACGGTTTTATTTAATTAATTCTCATTCAAATTTACATTTTTTTTCATTTTCTTGTCTAAAAATTGTTCTTAGAAAAAAACGCCACATTCATTCTTTATTCTCTTATTTTATCTGAGGCTGATGTTTTTGAAAAATAGAGCACAATTTCCACCAATTTTGCTGGTGCTTCAACACTATCTGCTCAGGTAACTGTGCTATTGTGTTCTTGAAATTAAATGGGACTTCCTGGTTAAATGAATAAAGTGCATTTCTTGTATCTAAATTTAATACATGTTAAGGGTACGGTGACCAGGGAGGTGCAAACCAACATTACAAAATCTAAAAAACTTTTACAAGAACCAAAACAAATGATCATTTCAGAAAAAAAATTTACACTTAAATTTTTTTTTTTACAAGTTTTGAAACATGTTAAAGTTTTTTAAAAATGTATATTTGTTTTCTGAAATGATCATTTGTTTTGGAACTTGTAAAAGTTTTTAGATTTTGTAATGTCGCTTTGCACCTCCTGGCCACCGTATAAGGGTCATTAACGAAGGTCTAAAGAGCCGCAGGATGCAGAACCCTAGGTTAAACCAATGCATTTTACAGTTACATAAAATCTACACTAGAGGGCGATAATGATCAATTTATAAATTAGTTTCTTGCTCTGATGCTTTAGCAGTCACTACATTTATGCTACAGTTTAAATGTATCCCTCCAAAGTAAAAAAAAAATAAGACTTAAAGAAACACTGTATATTCAACTATAGTTAATGCCTCAGAGTAACAGAAACTTTATAAACAATCATAATCGTAAGTGACAGACGAGGGACATGATACTGTTTCCATTGAATAGATGTATATGAACAAACAATGTCTTAAGGATTAACCTCAACATCTGTATCTCAGTTTGCACATCTGCACATCAGCTATCGCTGCTGCATTATGAGCCACAGTTGTTGATGTGCCGCATACGTTTCTCTACACTAGGGGGGCTGAAGCTTTGTTTGACCTAGTTGCTAAAAATCCCACGAGAGAAAAAAAAACTCCAGAAACATGTTTACAGATGTTTTAAAAATAGAAATGTATGAAAAGGAAAAGAGGAAACGCACGTAGTCCAGAAAAAATATTAAACACTTCAGGTAAAGTTGTGCATTGTTTAGAGGCATGGCATAGAGAGGTGAGGTTTCCAATCACAATAAAACAACAAAAACATTTAACGGATTTCACTTAGTTGTGCTAAAAAACTCAAATCTAATGAGAAAAGGAGCCTTTTGTTTCACCTGGACTTTATCAGCGTCTTAACCTCTTAACATCCACCTCATTTCGCCTTTTTTTCATACCCAAATGGAAAAGCAAATAACTTAGGAACTGTAAGCCCAAATTACATGTGCAATGCATTATTTGAAAGCTAACACCCTCTAGTTTCGTAATATATAAAATAAAATTGGTTGACTAGAACACATACCAACCTGCATCAGTTCAAACATAACTCAAATTCAAACAAAACTCATTCTCAGAAATAATAGATCTTCTTTGAACAGCAGTAATATATACATGCTTGACAAAAGGCAGGTTTTATTGTATTATATTTGTTCTATATCATGTCAACCACAAACGCAGAAAATTTCAGACCTCTAGCTATAACAGTTGGGCTGTTGGGCTTTGAACTTTTGGTGTCAGCTCAATGGCTCCACCTGCTGGTAAAAAAAAATTACCGGTGGAATTTTATGCATTCTGAATTATTACCCCCACTTTCTTTGAAGCATCTTTGAGGGAAAAACACATCAGAAGTCAATCACAACAAAGACAAGTTTGCCATTTTGCACTTGATGGTTAACAGAAAAATGTTTATTATAAAAATAAAATTTAAATAAATTCCCATCTTGATGTAGTTACCAAAGTGCTACAGTCATGGGGGAAGTTCAAAGTTATGTTTTAAGCTGAAAAGGAGTACTGGAGAAGCACAGAATGGTTGGTCCTTGAAGATCAATGTCAAGTTTCCAGTCACTGATGATCTTGGAAATTCTCTGCTTGCGTTGATCCTTTGGTTCCTTTTCATCAAAACAAGGTGAGTCCAGTTGTCTCCTTTCTTCTGTCCTTTTTCAATTCATCCCATTTAAAATGTACACTTTCTAAGCAACGCAGCTAGATGGAGCTTTAGCTTCTGAATTATTTCTCTACCAGTTCTTTGCATCTGGAGATGCTGAAGCCTCCACAGGACTCTTGCAGCATTCCCAAATAAATCACTTTATATCAATATATAAATACATTTGAGTATTTTTGAATTTCAAATGTTGAAAGCAAAGGTTTGGTTAATTAATTTAGCCCGTAAACAAGTTCATAAACAATTCTTTACGTTTAAAAATGTGTTTTTTATGATATTTGGGCAGTTCCTAAATCAGTATTTTAAAGCAAAGACATTTAGCTTGACGTTTATTAGCGACCGTTATAAAGAAAAAAAACTAATATTTAGAAACCCAAATGTAATTTAAGACATTTATTAATTCCAATGATTGATTGTTTTACATACCAGAGGTTTGGATGTAAATTGGATTTTAAAATCCTTCTAATCCTCATTTGTTGCTGTAACCTTCCCTATATCTAACAGCAAGTAGAAGCAGCGTTTGGCATCTTCCAATCCTGAGTCCAGGCAAAAATATTGCCTTTTAATGAGTTATGTCCCACCTTCAACGTATGGAAAAAACACCATGACACGTGATCCAGCTGCAGTCAGTGGCTGTGGTTTTGGTCCGGATCGTCATTTTGGGATAAACGGAGCAGCTCCTCAATCCTCTCCACGTCTTTGGTGGCTTCTTCTGGCCGAGCAGTGACGTTCAAGCTGTCAATCAGCTCATCAGTCATCTGCAAACGGGCCGTCCTTATCAGAAAAAGGAAGAACAAAACACTATTCTTAGTCCAACATCTTATTTGTGTTATAAAAATTTAAACCAAATAGTTTTTTTCTCTACTTTTTACATTTTATTTTGGTTTTTGCTCCATGTGGCGTTTTCAGTCAATCTTCTAAGCAAGTAATTCCCTAATTCTGGGTTGAGACTAGAGATCGCTACATACAGATTTTATGAGGCCAATTCGCGTTATTTTGACAGTCTAATTCCTGATATGTGCTGCCAATTTTTGGGCCGATTCATTAGGCTGATATTGCTTTTTCTTTCTTCATTTACATTTTAAAAAATGACACCATAATAAGAAATGTAAGATGAGTCTCAATTTAAACAAAACAAAACAAAAAAAGATTTATTTAAAAATGAAAAAAAACAAAACAATAATCAATACAAATGGAGGGAGAGGCAATGCATGCACTTTATGTGATCTCAAGGCATGGCTGCCAAATTAAATAATGAATAGTTAAAGGGATCCACGTATTTTTCTGATAACAATTGTGGTTTTTAACCAACCAATATGGGATATTGAGATCCGCCGCAGTAATTAAATTAAAACATTTACATTAAAGTGTTAATAGATATAAATGCATCACCTAAAAAGTGACAAAACCACTACTTCAAATGATGATGCTGTTTGTAACATTACCCCACCCATGACTGATTGGTTGTGTAGAAATATTTGAAAAACGCTCCAACAGTTCAGGTCATGAGTCGAATCTGGTAGCAGGTACTTTTTCTTACCATTCTGCTAGCTTGAGCTCGTAGAGCTCTCGGCGCTCTCGCCGCCTCCGTTCTCTGAAGGTTTCTCCAGTCAGAGACTGCAAGCCGACGACCACGGCCCCTACAGGAACCCTGTGGAGACATTTCAGCAGAAAAATAAGCCTTGTGTAAAAGATGCTGTGAATTTAACCTCTCAACATCCACCTTATATTGGGAAATTCTCACCTATTTTGCATTCCCAAATGGAAAAGCAAATAACTTAGAAACTAAAAACCCAAATTAAATGTGCAATACATTATTTGAAAGCTAACACCCTCTAGTTTCTGAATATATAAATGAAAATTGGGTGAGTAGAACACAGACCAAGCTGCATCAGTTCAAACATGACTCAAAGTTGTTTTTTTTTGTCTCGAAAATCTTTTTTTGAACAGGAGTAATGAAGAAATGCTTCAAAAAAGGCAGGTAACCACAAGAAAAGAGGTTACTGCCTGCAAAATAAACAAAATCAAAACTTAAGGGCTCTGCTGCAGCACTGCTAAAGATCTACTATGCTGATTATTTCTTCTTAAAATCATAAATATTAATCATAATCTATTAAGACAAGACTTTCTTATATGAAGCTGAAAATTTCAGGTTTCACCCAAAGAGTTCATTCTAGTTAAATAAAACTAACCGCTGATTCCTTCCACTTTTTGTTTTTTGGAACCATCGCCCAGAGATCTGGAGCGTGATGCGTTAGCTTCACTGTCCTGCACCGTTTCCATCTCACCTCCTTCAGCCCAGACTGGCTGGAGCTGTTTGCACACAAACGTCCAGGTGGCTGCCCGTCAGCCACATAGAGAGGGGGACGCTGCAGTTCAGAGCCAACAAGCGATGACTACAAACAATCCATTCCTCTATTGTGCCAATAAAGTCGTTATGCCCTCTATTAGCCCAGTGAGCTCAACAACAACAGATGAGGACAGATGATTAAGACTCCAAATTTAAATCAGAAGAGGAGAGTTTAGGAGGCAGAAGTTATGGTCATGGTGTCCACGTTGAGAGGCAGCTGATGCTTTGGCTGGCCTTTTCAACTCCAGTGCCCAAAAAACATGGCCAACTGCGGTGCACATGAGTCCCTCTGGCACAGTGAACAGACTTGGGAGCAGGATGGAGGGGTGGGCAAAGGTACAGCTGGGCAGCAGAGGGTAGCTGGGAGGGGCGCAGCTGGCTGCCAGAGCTCCCACTACTCTCACAAGCATGAGTGAACATACAAGACTCAAACATAAGGATGTAAGTAGAAGTAAACATTAAAGGTTTGTGTGGAGCCACATTTTGCACATTTACAGACGGATCTTCACCTGTTCCTTTAAATGGGGCTGTGCAGAGGAAAATGAGAGGCCAACCTTACCCCAGCACCGCTCCGATGATGCTTCCAGCCAGCAGCCCTCTCAGGCCCAGGTTCAGCCGGTAAAGGCCTACAGTGACAGCTGCTCACATAGACAGTTTATCATCAATCAGAGCTCAATGCACTGGAATAAACACAAGAAATAAGATTTCCACAAGGCTAAAGATGGGTTTAATTTCTACAGGTTTTATCAACATAATTTGCTTTAATATTAAGTAATTTCTCCCAATTCCGGAATAGATCAAGTTAGCATGTTAACATGTTGTTCTTTCAGTATTTTTTGACTATAAAGATCAAAGTAATCTTCACGCTCCCTGAGCCAATTGGAGCTCAGACTACTCACCTCCAGCTGCGACATAATTACTGAGGGCATCTTTGTCTCTGTAGACGGACAGGCCAGTGCTCACAGAGCTAAAAGACAAAGGAAAAACAGACACACTTAAATGAGGGTTGACTTATTATTTTTCAGCACAGCATTATCTTTCTAAAATATTCACAACTTTTGAATTTTTCTACATTAAAAAAATAAAAATAAAAACATTATTTGAAAAAGCTGCGTGATTTTCCGCCAGATGGCGTGATTTTTGTCCACCTAGCGGTAATTTGGATGTAGTTACCAAAACGACAAACGGCTGCATTTATTTTGTTAGGGAAAACTAATCCTGAGGCAGTTAAAAGTCAGGAAATTCTGAAATGATGTCAGACTGTGGAAACCCTGTATAAAATAATTATGTATAATGATTCTCTAGAAAAGTCACATTATATTAATACTGTTATCTTGTATAAACATACTGTGACTCTAAAATAAAAGTTATTCATTTGTGACATTGACTTCCGTCTTGTGATTTATTATTATTTTAACCGGTCAAGTTTTTTTTAGATTTTTTAACATTACAATTTATATTTTTCCAAGCACACAAGAGTTTAAAGCAAAGGTTAGTTTGAAAAGAATGTGCAGGAAGGATTGAAAAGCATGTTAACACTATTAACACATTATCTGACGCATGCAGATACACACCAGGAACCTGTAAACTTACTGAAATACAAAAAACATAAAAAAAAAAACATGTTTTATTGATATATATATATACAAAAAGGAATATTAGGAACTATATTTATCAAATATTATACTGGGCAAGTAAAAATTGTTTCTGGGTAAATGAAATGTGAAAGTCACTTGCCCTTTGGGCAACTGGTAAAAATCTTTAACGTCAACCCCTGAAAACGTTGGACAATTTTACAGAGGTCACTTGATGTCATACCATTTATTGTTGACTTTTCTTCTACGTTTTATTTATATCACTTTACCAATGCTTTTTTAAGATTTGCAATAAAAAACATTGTAATAATAGAATTTATGATTTATGCTGATATTGCCTTGGGCAAATATCGGTATGGGTCAGTTCTGAAAGCTGCAATATTGGTACCGATCAGAAATGAAAAGGTTGCAGCGGGATATACCTAGTAATAATACTGAAAGGCGTCGAGTTGGGCACACTGACTCATGCCCTATGGTTATGCCCTAAGGTTCAAACATTTTGGAAAAGGGTTCACAAAATTATTACAGAGGTCATTGGAGTGGATTTTGACTTCTGCCCCAGTCTTTACATATTAGGTAACCCTAAACCCTTGACAGATATTGAAAAACCCCTAGCTCAGGGGTCTGCAACCTGCGGCTCCAGAGCCACATATGGCTCTTTGGACCCTCTCCAGCGGCTCTTAATAGTGGCTAAAATGTATATAAAGAGCTAAATAATTTACTTTAATATATACCGGTATCAATAGCTTTAGTGTTTTTTATAAGATGGAAAAGAATGAGATTAAAAGAACCAGAAATATGTTTTAAGTAGGGATGCAGGATATAACCGGCCCCCTATTGGTATCTGCCTTAAAACTGATTATCGGACATCGGCCACCCCACCAATATTTAACCTGATATTCGATCAGCTTTCTAAAGTTTCTAAAGTCTAAAAAAAAAAATAATAATAAAATGCTACTTCTTCCTCAAAAACGTCTTTTTTACAGACTTAATAACTACTACACTGCAAAAAACTAAATCTTGATAAGTCATTTTTTTCTTAAAATAAGTGCATTTGTTCTTGAATTGAGGAGATAAAAGAGACATTTTGCCATTGAAACAAGACAATTTAGATTTAAAATAAGAAAACACATTTGCATTCTCTTATTTAAAGTGAATATTATCTAATTACCTTATTTTAAGAGTAAAAATAATCATTCCATTGGCAAACTATCTCATTTACCTACTCAAATCAAGGGTAAATACACTTAATGTAAGAAAGTTTTACTTATTTCTAGATCATTTTTCCAGTGTAAAGACGAGGGGAAAATATTGATTGATTAAAATATCCCAATATCTTCATATGCTGATATATTGCCATTTAAAAACACCATATCAATCTCTTTTACTAATGAAATGTTGCTATATGTCATCGTTATGCTACGAAATCCCCCGAAAATTCACCAAATGTTGCCATATTTTTATATGTTGATATATTGACGCGGTATCGATCTATTTTACTAACAAAATCTCACAAGAATTTGCAAAATATCACGAGAGTTTGTAACAGAACGATGAAATTTCACCAGATTTTGAAAGTAAAATAGATCGATACCGTGTTTTTAAAAATTTATTTTATTTATTTATTTTTTTAATTAATTTATTTTTTTTTTATATATATTTTTTATTTATTTATTTTTTTACTTTTTTTTATTTATTTTTTTAATAATAAATAAAAAATAAATAAATAAATAAAAATTAATTTGATATCAGCATATGAAAATATATTTGAGTATATTATTTTTCAAAGTGTCAGAAATGGATAACAAAACTGCTATTTTCAATGACTACTTATTTTTGTCCAGCTTTAACATCGGTATCGATATGGGTTATTGGCTACATGAGTTTTAAAATATCGGCATATCGGATATCGGCCAAAATCCCAATATCGTGCATCCCTAATTAGCTTGTAAATTATATTTTTTAACATTAAAAATAAATGAATTTTTGATTGTTTGAGATGGCAAAAACTAATTTCCTATATAAGATTAAAAGAAAAAAAGGTTTTCTAGTAAAAGTCATGTTATATTTTGCGGCTCTACACAACTTTTACGTGGTCGAACTCTGGTCAAAACGGCTCTTTGAATATGAAAGGTTGCAGACCCCTGCCCTAGCTAATTGGATTCAGACAAGTATAATGATAGGTAAACAGATGATAATGAGAAAGTGGAAAGATGCAGAGGGCCCAGTATTTCAGGAATGGATGACAGAGCTAGGCAGAGTAGCTGCTTTTGAAAAGATATCCTTTAGATTAACAAACGATATTGATAGATATAATGAGAAATGGGGTCTGTTTTTAGGTCTATACTCATTTCAGGGTAGCTAAGATTTGAAATCTGAATGCAGTGATCATTATGACTTGGGTTGGTGTATGGAAATAAAGATTGTGCTGGACTGGGCTCATCTCAAGATATGGTCACTGAAAGACTACCTGGGGATTGAGAATTTTAGAGGGGACAATGGGATGTATAGCATTGTGGTGGTTACCTCTGTTTAAGATATGGAGCAAGGATTGAGCTCAACTGTCTTGGAAGTTGGTAGTTTTTTTTTTTGTTCTTGTTGTTATATTGTTTGTTATTTTTTACTCTATGTTCTGTCATATGATCGTGTATTCAGTTTCACCCTGTTTTGTTTACTCCTCTCTTAAATGTTTTGTAAAAAATTGGGCCTAAAAAACAATAAAAGTTTAATCATAAAAAAAAAAAAAAATACTGAAAGGCGTCAACTTTTCATATTGAAACGTTTTTGATGAGCCTCCATTAAAACCTGCTGAACAATCAATCAACAGAGTACGATTTTGCTCCTCCTTCATTTATTAGCCTGATTTGCCTCCAACAGTCAGGGGCTGAGATGCAGACAGAAAGTGAAACATTGGTAAACTGCTAATGTTGCCAACGCTGAACGCCTATTCATATTGATCACCAAGTGTTTTTCTTCTCGAGAAAAACTTGTCTGGTTAAGCATTTACTTTTTTTCTTTGCATATGCAAGTTACCAGGTTACGACTCCGTTAAAAGACGCTAAAGGTGCTAAAACTGCTCGCTGTGATCAGGCTCACCGATTATGAAGCTGTAAAAAGTGTCCCTTTGTGTTGCATGTAGAAAATCCTCTATTAATAAACAGGTGTCTTCAACTATCTCAGTTCCTGTCTAAGTGTTTATTGGTTTTAATGAGAGCTTAATAATATACATCCAATATGGTGAAAGTTTTTCCATCAGTCATTCACATAAAATCCCAAATAAACACTAATGTTTGAAGGTGAAATGTGAAAATACAGTTAAATATTGTTCAATGAAATTAAAGGAGAAGTTCGGTTTCTTACACTTTAAGCCCATTTTCTGTAGTGTCCAGGATGAAATCGAATGATCGACACCAAAAGTTTGACAATTGCTCCTGTCTCTGCTTTTTGGCTCATTTAGAATCCACCCCTGGCTGCTTTAGAATGGCTTGCATAGAGCATGTCCGATAATGTCCTTAAAACAACCTTAAACGTTCTTTTTTTAAAATATGCTACTCACCGGGTCGTCAGCGCTGTTCAATGACGTTCCAAAAAAAGTTTCGTAAAGAAAAAACGTTCCTGTAGTGTTTTATTTAGCATTTTGTAAATCCCATTGAGTTCTGTTGGAATAGTCAATATTCCCCTGCCACCGGAAACGGAAATGGGGCCTGTTTACGCAGTTGTAGTCTTTTCGCTTCACTCTGTGTACTCCGACGTCGAGGTGCTAACATCTCTGTTAAACACTTTAAAAAACTCTGAAAATGGAATACGAAAGGTGGATTCTTGATTCTCGACGTCGGAGTACACAGAGTGAAGCGAAAAGACTACAACTGTGTAAACAGACCCCATTTCCGTTTCCGGTGGCAGGGGAATATTGACTATTCCAACAGAACTCAATGGGATTTACAAAATGCTAAATAAAACACTACAGGAACGTTTTTTCTTTACGAAACTTTTTTTGGAACGTCATTGAACAGCGCTGACGACCCGGTGAGTAGCATATTTAAAAAAAAGAACGTTTAAGGTCGTTTTAAGGACATTATCGGACATGCTCTATGCAAGCCATTCTAAAGCAGCCAGGGGGTGATTCTATATGAGCCAAAAAGCAGAGACAGGACCAATTGTCAAACTTTTGGTGTCGATCATTCGATTTCATCCTGGACACTACAGAAAATGGGCTTAAAGTGTAAAAAACCGAACTTCTCCTTTAACCTATTAAGCCTTTAAAATAATGTTGGTGTAAAACAATGAATTCCCTTAAATTCTTAGAATAGTTAAGCTCTTCTGCTCACCTGAACAAAGTGACTATCAGAGACACCCTCCAGCTCCATCTCCATCCGTACCGCAAGAAACCTCGGATGGCGGCATTGTGAGCTGAGCGCTAAAGGTTGGAAAGAAGGAAGAATTTAGAGGATTATGTTTCTTGACCCATTTTTTTTTTTCACAAATCATCTAAAAAGAGGCTCAACTTTAATTTTCTGCCTAAATTAGTGGGACTTAGGATAACACAAAAGAATTAATAGATTTTGATATTAAAACAATGTTGATGTGATAAAAACTTCACATCTGGTCCCTAAAAGCATGTTTAAATTTAATAAACAGAACAGATAGTCAGGATCATTCACACTTGGATGAGAATTTCACCTACCACTGCTTCCACGCGACTCGTGTACACCTCCGCCTGGCTGATCTGGATATACCTCTGCCTAGCAAAGCGTGCAGCAGGCAGGCCGCCGTACACAAAGCCTGTGATCGCGCCCAGGACGCCACATTTGATCACCGTGATGAGCTCCTCTGGGTGTTTCAGAGTCTCACTAGGACAAAAAAAATTAATAAATAAAAACATACCGGTATACATAATCTTTAGAGATATTTTAGGTTTCCTGACTATTGTACCACACAATTGACATTATTTACATTAATCCAACCTCTCTTTGTTCATTTGAACGACACTGCCACAGTAAGTAGTCTGTATAGTGCTGGGTTCTTTCCAGAAATTAGGCTTTTATGTGTTTTTCACCTTTTTAGATCCTTTAATCCATCTTGGACAAAAAAAAATCACGTCAAAAGCAGGACTCTGGAAAACCTGACTAGATAATTAGGAGGCAAATCAGCCAATTGGATTCTGGTGTGCTGAAGCAGAGGTATCTCAAAGGTGTGTATGGAAAAAAAAAAGGTAGGCAAGGAGTAAATTTAGGAAGTAAATTGGGATGGATGAATTGAAAGTTGGAAAAATCAGAGGAAAAAAGGAAGGACAAAGCTGGTCAGATAGAAAGGATAGTAAGCCAAAAGGTGGGAATAGCAATAAGAGCACAAGGGCTGGTATGACTACATCTACAATCCCTTCCTTTTCAGGCATTAATAATTGCCGAGTAACAGGGCTGGCAGCATAAAGCTGAGAAGACACACGGTGGTGCAGAAAATAATGGATTTTTACAAAGTTCTAATCCAGAATAAGCCTTTAACCATTTTGCCAAAAATCCTAATTACTATTATTTCAAACACAATTTTGCTTTTTTGATTTTCCTTTTCAATAACCGCAAACATGCAGAAGTTTCACTTCAGTGTTTCATCGTTTTCAATAACCTTGAAACCTTTCTTTTCCAGAGTTAATTGTCCAGGACTACGGTTACTACTGTGTACAGAAGCGTTCAATTTAACTCTCAGGCAGACTAGCTTCAACATTGCAGAAACTGAACATGTGCTTTCTGTTTTTCACCTGTTTGAGGCCCGTTTCATTTGAGAAGTTATTTTAAGATCACACTGGAAATTCCGATTGGTCAGCTGCAGCCAATGTAAATAACTTAACATAATTTATTCCCCTTTACATTAAAGCCATATTTGAGCTTTAATTGGCAATGTTCTGAAGAAAAAAAAATCCCTTATTTTAAACTGGTCCAAACAATTTAGTTTTTATTGAGTATATTTCTTTTACTCAAGTCAATAGGATATTAGCAGCACTACATTTCCCTGCAACCAGCTGCTTGCCTCTATAAAAGTCGTAACTAATACACCATCACTCCGGTCTCCCACTTTCAAACTTCAGAAGTTTCAGATGTTCAGAAAATGCAATAAAATACCCATTATTCCATCCTCATATGGGTCTGGGCCTTTATCATAGAGCAGAAGTATGAAAGTATATAATTTATTAGGCCGTCTCTAAAACTGTAGCTGGAGGCAAACCTACTTTAAGCGTATTATCTCTATCTTAAGGGCAGGAGAGACAAATGTCTATTGTTCTTACTTTTATAATATGTGACCAAAATTGAGTTCCTCTGCAATTTGAAAGTTTCAATTTGTAAAATCTTGATTACATTAATTCCCCACCCTAATTCAGCACAAATCTTTGACTTTTCTGTATGTCATCAAAAAGTTTGGTTAAAGAAAAAAATTAAATATCATTAATATGTCTCAATCTAAACATATTAAACAACTGAACCAAGAAAAAACTAAATAAATGTGTTTTGATGATTCTGGTGAAAAAACGACTAAAGGTTATATAAGAAAGCAGACACCAACTCTCTATCAAAGAGGTCCTTGATGCGCTCCCATCCAGTGTCAGGAAATTCTGGCTTGCAAATGTTCTTTGGCAGAGTGCTGGGTTGAGGCACGGCTGCAGGAGCAGGACTAGTGGTGGAAGAGGAGGAGGAGGAGGGCATCTGCCCGGCAGCCACATCAGCTGCATCAACCCTGGGGAGCAGGAAGCAGAAGAAACGAGGCATGGCAGTCTGGATGAGGCCCTGCAGCGGACCCGTGCTCATCACCCTCCCTCGGGGGCTGGAATCTGCCTGTCGTCTGTGCAGAGCGAGGCTTTTCCTCTGCTGCTCTGGATGAATCATGCTTCAGCTGGCGGTGGGCTGTAACACAGAGGCAGAAAGGCACGGTTATGGGCTGAGATGCAGTTTTCAACTGAAAAAAAAAAAAATCACCTTGAGGCAAACAAAACCATAAGAGAGTTAGAGAACACAAGTTGCCACACTACGTAGCTATTAAATACTGCTGCAGTATGAATAAATAAATTAAAAAAAAACACAGGAGAGAGACTCGCAGAGCCTGGAGCAAAACAAAAAATAAAAGCGACTTACAAATATGTTTGAAAATCAAAACCCATGTCTTTGCAATATTTTGCAAAGGCTTAGGCTCACCTTAAATTTTAAAAACCTCTCATCCTAAAAGTAGAATTAAAAATGAACTGGGGTAAACTGAGGAGGTATTGTGGGATTGTAATTAGCCCCCAACAGGAGAGCTGACTGAGCCAGTTAGAACCATAACGATGCATGTCCGCTAATTTACTCCAGTGGATCATCATTCTGATACCTGATGGCTCTGAGCGGGTTTTTATTGCCTTCCTCAGACCCACGCTTTAACAGGCTGAAGCTCCAGAGAGGCACAGAATGCAACAAGCTACACAACGCTTATATTATGCATGATATAGAAAGAAAACCTCACAAGAAGGAGAAAAATTGAAGCTGAAGTGCAGCAGCTTTAGTGTGACGTGGGGGGCCAGGGATGTGGAATGACATTGATGAAGCAATTTAAGATTTCCCATCTTAACATATATTTAAAAAGTATTTCAAGCAAAAAGTACTGGTAATCTACACACAGTACAGTACCTTATATCGTGGCCGATGGCTCCCATTATTGTTTAGATCTTTACATTTTTGTTGAACTGTGCAACGACTAAATGCAGAATTGTTAACCTTACAATATATTAATCTCAGTGCTCCTCACCACTAGTTAGAACCTAAGAAGCCTCTTGGATGAGAGGCGAAAGGTCTTCTAGAAAACTTCATGTCCTTTTGCCTTAACTGAACTTTTCAAGAATTACTCAATTAAGTGTTTTCTATTTACTATGTTATCTATCCTTTATAAAGTGATCTAGTTTGATGGAATTTTTACTATAATAAAAATTGTATGGAAGTCTGTAACTTTTGACAGTATGAGGATTCAGGGTGGCGATTTTGTGTTTTTGTTTCTGCAAAGTAGTTTGTTTTGCCATCTATATTTAATCGTGTTTTGTTTCCTTGTATGTCTGGGTCCCTGATTATAAGCAGTATAGCTTCTTGATGACTTAAAGTTATTTTATTTTTACTTACAGAAGCATAAAAATATAGTTAAATTGTCTGATAGATTTTTATCTATTATCTATTTTATCTTATCTATTTATTGGAAAATAATCCTGTGGAGATAGATCACAGCTGCAAATCTACCAGGTCTGAACTGATTTCATGTAGAGTTAAAAAAAACATAAAAAACAAAAAAAACCTCGTGGTTACTTTGGCGGAGATGCAAAGGCACACAGCTCATGTGGGATAATCCATTAACAGGCCAACATTAAGGCCTGCTGCAGCTCATAGAAAGAAAGATTGATGCAAAACACTTAAAACTAAGAGGTTGGTTAGCTTTTATCATCATATGACAAATGTTCATAAGTCACCTTTCCTTATTTTTATTAAAAATGTAAATAACATATAATTCTTAATTGGCGCTAAGCTATCCTATTAAATCTTAACTGCATTGGACTTTATATTTAGGGTCAATAGGTATAAAATATTTAATTGTAATTACATTTAAACGGAAAATTAAATCGACTTACTCTTGTACAAGTATTACGGTTCTGTATTTCTAAATGATGTACCGTAATACTGAAAGGCTCGCGCATTAGCCGTTGTAATTAAGCTAAAGCCCAACACCTGCGACAGGTCACCTGCTAACTCGGTTACTGTGGGGGGAAAAAAGCCCCTTTATAGCAACTCTTCAGCTCTATTTAAGTCTTTAAAGGAAAATAAATGATTTAATTAGTTACTTTTATAATTAACTTACATAGTATCCACGACTGAGGTGTTTAATTACCTGTGTTAGCTTCCCATTAGCTTCTAATAAACAGCTGCGAAGGAATACTGGAGCCACAAAGAGTTGGTCTTGTTACGGGAATACATCCAGAAAAAAAGTCTTTTTTTCTCGTTGTCCTTCAACTGGTCATTCTGCAGCGACTTTCTCTCAACACAACTACCACAGCACTGTAACACAACCCCTGACCCCGGATCAGACGAGTAGAGATGCAACAGTGAACGCTAGCGCCCCCTACTGGATGGAGGACAGTTTTGATAAAACACTAATAAAAAAAAGTTTTTATGCAGATTTCCAGTCATGGTTATGTCCATGTATGTTTAGATAACTGGATTGCAAAATACAAGACATTAAAAGGAGAACAAGTAGAAATTTGATTTTCATTTTAAAATAAAAAATAATTTAATTAATTAAAGTTTTATTATGGTAAAAACAGTGACATAAATATCACTGTTTTCTAGTAAATATTTTCTGTCACGCTTAATCCCAGTTGGGGATGCGAGGGGTGCTGGTGCCCATCTCCAGCTGCCTATGGGCGAGAGGCGGGGGTCAGGTCACCAGTCCATCACAGATACAAACAATCATTCACATTCACTCACACCTAAGGAGAATTTAGAGAAGCCAATTAACCTAACAGTCATGTTTTCGGACTGTGGGAGGAAGCCGGAGTACCCGGAGAGAACCAACGCATGCTCAGGGAGACATGCAAACTCCATGCAGAAAGACCCTGGGCCGGGAATCAAACCCGGAACCCAGTGAGCAGCCACATTAGCAAAACATCTAGGACTAAAATAAATATGCCATGAAAAGGTTTGAAAAGGCGCTTTAACTTTGCCTCTTTTTAATCTTTTTTTTTTTTTATAGCTACTGTGAAAACATACATATTTAACTATCCCATATGATCTCATTGATTGCCTTAACATAAAAAGAAAAATGTAAACATGTAAAAGTTGAAGGCTCTGCTACCTGCTACAAATCTATAAACTGGACAAGAGTGGTAAAAAGTAAATGTGAGAATCTATTTTTATGCTACATAAATAACAATTTTTCCAAAAAATAACACAAGAGATTAAAAAGTGTTTGCTTCTATATAATATATATAATAATAAATCATGCATTGTTGGAAAAATTGGTTTACTTAAAGGTTAAGAGAGCAGGAAGTTAGCTTAGGAGTTAATGTGAGCCACTCTGTAGGTTTTACTGTCATCCAGTAGATCCCGGTCAGAACCAAGAGGCATTTAAAGAATTTTTCATTATAACACAAAGAATCTGAAAGTAACCTTTAAAAGATGCTCCATATCGTTTTAATTCTGCAATCAGTTTTGTGCAGCAATTCTTATTTTTAAAGCAGGAGCTATGGAATGTATATCCATCTGAATATTGACCAAAAGTTAAGAGAACTTGGGTCCCAAACTGGTTCTCAAGTCGAACAACACAGTATTTGAATTAGTTCACATTAAGAGCAAAAAAAAAAAAAAAATCAAGTAATTTCCAAGTTGAAACTTCTTTTTTTATTATTTTCTTAAAATTTACTATGATAAAAGGAACTAACTGTGACACAACCAACATTGTTAAAACAATGATCATAACTTCTTTGGTCAAATCAAGTCCCAAATGAGCCACAATAACACGTTCAAATCAAAGAAAAACAAGCATGTATATAGTTGACAGGACGGTGCGAATACTACAACATATTCTTTATAATCCTTCTTAAGTGATGTGATCAATCACCTATAAACACCAACCCTGACACCTATTTTAGCCACAAAAAAAAAGTTTTGAAATGTGTTAAACCCTTTAGCATTAAACAGATCTATATGAAAACTATTATGTTTTTTTTCTTGGAGCTGGTATAAGAGAAACTGTATCTTCAAGTCCTAGTGATGGGTCCAGCACCACTGATGTGTTGGTGCATGCATCGAGCCCATAGAGCAAAACTATCAAGTGCTAAAAACATCAAAAAGATTTAGATACATTTTCACAGCATGGAATAAAACTTAAGTCTGCTAGAAATTGTTGTTTCAGGCTAATAAACTCCATTATTTCACTGACATGATGGTATAATGGAGGTATAATCCTGGTCAAAGGTAAGAGAAAGATGGATGGTGCTAAATAAAGAGTAATACTTATTAAAAACCGGTTGAATACTGCAAAAGACTTCAGATTGTGGCAGATTAAAGGACGATAAATACCCTGTCTCCTTTCAGTTACGGCTAGTTTATTGGTTTCTCTAGATGATCTAGGTCTTTAGTGGCTGTTTAAAATATACTTTTGAAAATAGCCTGGAAACATAATTTTTGTTAATTTTTCCTCCCAAAACTGGAAAACAACCAGTAAAAAAAAAAAAAGAGATTGAACTTGTATCGTGGTAATACATTCATTCATTATTGCTTGTCCTTCACAATAGTTGCTCTGATCCTGCAGAGTTCAAAGCTCTGTTTTCACAGGTTTCTGTACAATCTGTTTGTAGCTGCTCTTTCTTCCTGGTTTATAGGTGAGGAGCTGGCTGAACTCTGTCAGGAGTCTCTCCCAGTAGCAGGAAATATCTTCCATTTGAAGGTGTTTGAGGATGAATTCCTGACCCCTGTGGAGAGAGAAGAGGCAGAGGAGTTAGCATAAGGCTTTGGATTTTAGCCACTTCTAGATCTGATAATAAACCGGCTACCTGGAGGCGATCTCCTTTGCAATAGCATCATTTTCTTTGGCAAACTGCAGCAGCTCCCTGATGACGCACAATGTGACTTTAACCATAAAGTGGTTTTTACTAAATTTTTGGTTGTTTTCTGGTTATGAATGGAATAAAGTACCTGACATCAGACAAGTCCTGCTTGACTGGGATGTAGTGGACCCAGGGTTTGAGCTGAGGGTAGAAGAACTCCTGCCATTCGTCCCCCACATGAAAGACGAGCGAGCCACAGAGGAAGAGATGTTTGAAGCGAAAGCTTGCAGCCACACCCCGGAAGTTGAATAAATATCTAAAAAGGGAACAATCCAATGTATGTAACAATGAATAACCTGAAACTTTAAATTAAAATGCTTACACTTACAAAAAGATGCTTACTTGTATTTACAGTGATCGGCCAGAGGGATTTCTTTAGCTGGAGGTCGACCGAGTGTGTCCTAAATTAAAGGGAATTAAAGGAATGAAGAGAGTGATCTTAAAGGAATAGTACACCCAAAACATGATTAGCCTTCATTTTCTACTCACCCCCATGCTGAACAAAACTCTGGAGTACTTTTTTTGATATCTCAAATGCATCTGGAGATCTGGGAGGCTTCTTGCTGTCTGCTGACATTCAAATAATGGAGGTCTATGGCGCCCGAGGCAGAAAGGTCCATAAAAGTCCACAAAAAACGTGTCAATATTCCTCCATACTGCTTGTCCAATGTATTCCAAGTGTCCTGAGAGGGTAGCATCCAGAATTTACTCGAAACAAAGTCATTTAGAATGTTTTTAGAGCCTAAACAGTAGTGTATAGGATTTCCTGAAAGCGCGTTCACGATGCTACGGAAACCGCGGCAGACCAAACCAGATGAAAGTGCGCATTCAGCTCGGCAAAGAACTCATGCTCTTCCTCAACACTGAAGTCCTCAGACATTTTTCTTTCGTTGTTTCTTTCTTTGCACAGGTAAACAGCACATTTCTTCTTCTACGCTTGCATTATTGGCAGAGCAGACGCTGAATGCGCACTTTCATCTGGTAGCGTCATGAACTCGCAGGTGCGCGCTTTCAGGAAATCCTATACACTACTGTTTATGTTCTAAAAACATTCTAAATGACTTTGTTTCGAGTAAATTCTGGATGCTACCCACTCAGGACACTTGGAATACATTGGACGAGCAGTATGGAGGAATATTGACACGTTTTTTGTGGACTTTTATGGACCTTTCTGCCTCGGGCGCCATAGACCTCCATTATTTGAATGTCAGCAGACAGCAAGAAGCCTCCCAGATCTCCAGATGCATTTGAGATATCAAAAAAGTACTCCAGAGTGTTGTTCAGCATGGGGGTGAGTAGAAAATGAAGGCTAATCATGTTTTGGGTGTACTATTCCTTTAAAGGAATGAAGAGAGTGATCTTAATGCAGAGGGGTGGGGCTCTGGTGTGGCTTCATGTCTTACCTTCTCAGACTTCCAGGCCTGGTTCTTGGTGTACTCTGCATCAACCAGATCGGGAGCCTCTCTGGACAGAAGGATAAGCGGGTCACGCTCAGGGCTGGTTCTGCGGAAAGAAAAAGCAAAACATAGGACTTTCTTTAGAAAATCTAGCAAACAAATGCATTTTTTTATTCAGTATATGTTTTTATTTGACAGTCAGTCTGAGACGATGTGAAACACAACCGTCACATGACCTACCTAGAGCCTCTGAAGAACCCTTTGGTCTCTTTCTTCTTCCATGGCCACTGAGCTGCAGATCTAATGATGATAATAAACATAATGTTACATAAAACCAGACAATTCATACTGATGTTTAAAAGTGCAACCAGAAAAGAGAAATCGTAAGCATAAGATGCACCGTTTAGCTTTCATTTAAACCTGAACTATTGCTCTAAATTTAACTTTTCTGTTAGATGTCTATGAGAAGAAAACATATTACTAACCCCAAATTGGGATATAACACAAATAAAATCTTAACTTATGGAGTAAAGACATTTTTTTGTTGCTCTTTTTAAAAACTAAAAATATAATTTAGTCATTTGTATTTGAACTCCTGTTTTTACACCAAAAAATGTCTTTAAAATGAACTGTACGGTTACTTTTTATGTTTTTCTTGCCAAATCTCTTTCCATGTACGTCATCGTTCTAAATAAAAGGTATTAAATCCTACTTTTTCAGTTCATCTCTCATCAGATCCCATCTCCCCAGTCCAGTTGGGTATATGGGCCACACGGCTGGCCCGCCTTCCCAAAACGTCCACGCTGGGTACATGATGTCTTGATATTCCGCCGTCTATGAATAGAAATCACATCTTAAACGAACAAATAAATAAGTGACTTCAAACATTGACAAACATCGCAGAGATGCTGACCTTACTGAACGAGAAGACGGGTAGAATCGGTTGCACCCAGCTGGGGACCTGAGGGTAGTCCCTCACATTTACCACCATCTCCAAGTCAGGTAGCCTGTCGATGATCTCCAGAATGAAATGTTCCACTCCGCTGCACCTGAAGAGCATTAAAAGTTTATACACTTTATATCATTAT